TGTACCTTTTAATCATTTACTTTTTATATTTCATAAATTAGTGTAGTGAGAAAACAAAGTAATATTATTATATAATAGATATTCTTTATAATAAAGTTTTTTATATTATACTTTTAACAAGTTTAATTTTAATAGGATAACTTTTTAGATTATAATTATTAATATGTGAATATAAACTAGCTTTTGATTTAAAAATTTCTTGTATATTAGAATTTGTTTTTTTTTATTTTTTAATAAAATTTCTGTGAACTGTTTTATCATTTCTTAGTTTTTTGTTATTGCAATTTTTATTAACGCATATTATTATATTAATAGACTAAATTCATATAATGATATAATGGTTTTTAATAACTGTGTATTATATTCTTTAGATTAAATTAGATTGTAATCTTTAATGGCTAATATATATATTAATATATTGTGAGATAGTAGAGATAATGATTAATAAAATATTCTGCAAAGGGTTTATTATACATTAAATATTTTTTTTAAAAATTTTTTTTTTTATAATTTACTAACCTATCTAATTACATTAACCAGATTAGATTATATTTTGAATTTATATTAATGGTATAAGAGCTTAATGTGTTAAATATTATTAGATAAAGAATACTTATATGAAATTATAATTGGAAATTGAAATATTGAATAAATTTATATAATAATTTTGAAAGGGATTATACTTTTTTATAACTCAAATTATATTTAAATCTCAAAGAATATTTAATGATTATACACTGCCTTATAATAAATTACCAGATTTTATAAATTTTACTTAATAATTTATAATAAAATTGAAGATATTTAAGTTATATAAATGTTTACTAATTTTCAATAAAAATCATCTGATTTTTTTTTATTTGATAGCTGATCAATTATAATTTTTAGATAAAAGAAAAAATTTAAAATATGAAAAACTTTTTTCATTTTGAAGTATAAGCAACTATTTTTTTATATGTTTTTTGCATTTTTTATATATAAAATTATTTTATTTATTACTTTAAAAATGAGTATTTTTTGGCATTTTATAAATAAAATATTTTTGAATTATATTTTTAAAATTATAATTGATTAGCTATTAAATAAAAAAATATAATGTGTATTTTATTAAAAATTCATAAACTTTTATATAATCTAAAAATCTTCAATTTTACTATATATTACTAAGTAAAATTTATAAAATCTGGTAATTTATAATATATATATAAAATTTATTTTATTATAATATTAAATATTATAAGAACTTATAATAATAAAATATTTGATCATTTTGATTAATCATTTTTGTATATGTTAAAAAAAATAGTGATTAATATAATATGTATATAATTTAAATTATAAAAAACTGGTAAAAAATAAAATATTATGCCTCTTTGGTCTATTATATATTTTGTTTATATTATAAATGAACTTATCTATTAATAAAATCATTTTTTAAAAAAGAATTATTGAAAATAAACTATCTTATTTTTTGCATTATTTTATTGGGAAATCTAAATATTACTTACCATAAATATTTATTACATTATCTATTTGAATATGAGTAGACTGAACAATATTATAATAGAAATTATACAAGTTAATAAACTGACTAGTGCTCTGAAAAGATCTAGATTATTGACTGACTTGAATTTAGGATCAGGTATTATAGGTTTATAATTAGAAATAACAAAATATAATTTATAAATTAAACTAAATTAATTAAGTTGATTTAAGGTTTATATTTATTTTAGATATCTGATTTGACCCTTTCTTATAATATAATCAATTATAATTAGTATAAGATATAATTTTATTTTTATTTTACAGGTTAATTCAGTATGATTTTTGTGTAAATATTATTTGATATAATAAAGATAAAATCTTTTATTTTATAAGTAATTTATCTGGATTTTTATTTGAAATTTATATTCATGTAAATTTTATTTATGTTATATGAATATCTTAATTTTAGAATTGTTTATTCATTTTATTTAAGGGAATGCTAAATAATAAATATAATGTAAAATTATCATGTTTATTATATAAAATAATATTTCAAATATTTTAAATACAAAGTAAAACCTTATATACAAAATTTGTGAAATGAATTAATATGAAAATCTTTTTGAGTAAAATATTTTATTATATAATAATAGATAATATTAAATTTTTTTTTAGTATAAACATATATTTGCAATAAGGTTACTAGATAAATCTCAAGATTTTGACAAGCATTAAAATTAAAATCCATCAAAATGTTTTGCCAAATTTTTTTATTAAAGGCAAAATTGTAAAAGTTTTGATGGATGGTAAAAGTTTGACAGAGGCAAATGTTTTGATGATAGCAATATTAAAAATACAATTTTTTAATTTTAAAGATTTATTTTAATTTTACGAGTTAGGTTTAATTAGAAATATATTCTATAATTCTTCTATTAGTGTTAACAGATTATCCTGTTAAAAGTGGTCAATTATTTTAGTGATTTCTTCTCTTTGACATATATAATATTTGCCAAATCATTCATTAAAATTTTTGATAAAATTTACTAATAGGAAGATAAAGAATTGATTTTGGTGTTACCATGAAATATATAACAAATTTTTAATATCATCAATATAAAGTTTTTAGACCATATCAAAATTTGTTTAACAAATAATGAGTCATAACTAAGGTTGCTAGATGAACCTAAGGATTTTGCAAGTCGTTTAAATGGAAAAAGGTAAAATTTGGAAAGATAAAACTATATCAAAGCTTATAAAAGTGCGAAACTATATCAAAACCTTAGTAAAAATTTACGAAACTATAGTTTAGACGTTTTGCAAAATCCAAAATAAGTTTAAACAAGCAATCTTAGTCATAACTATATGTATAAAAATTTTTTGTAAGTATGCCTACAAAGCATAATTCTATTAAATGATATTTCTCTTGATGAACAATCAAATTCACCTAATCCATCATTCATGGATGAACGGTTAATAAAATTACTAACTTTCTCATTTGTATTATAAATCTTTTCTAAAATATCCATTCTACCTATTCAAACTTTCTCTCATCTTATCACTTGATGTCCAACAAAAAATTCCCAAATATCACCATATTTTTTTTAACATTCTTATTGAGCTATTTATTTAAAAATTTAAATGTTTATATATCTTATAAGTTTTAAATATTTTATACAAATGATAATGCTTTTGTGATTAGCATTCTTGAAGATGCATTAATTAAATCATTTATCTAATCTTTTAATTATCAATCATTGTTAAAATTGCATGCACTATTAAAATATCAGAAACTAACCAAAAAAATATCTTTACAGGAAATATTTTGTGATCGAACACGGTACCCTTTTACTATAATTAATAATTACTAGGAAATGGGGACCGTTGTGAGTCCTGAGCGAATTATTGGATGAAAATCACGTGGCGAACATAGAACGCTCACATGACAAAATTTACTCAATGCATAGAAATATATAGTCCTTCGCTTCGCTCAGGACAATAATTAATTATTTTAAAAAAAATCGGGAGTTAAAGTAACACAAAACATAATTCGCTAAGTCCTATTAATATTGATTAACAAAATAGATTAAATAAAAAAAGTCCATTGATAAATCCTTTTTTGGTTTATTTTTGGAATAATGATTTTGTATATAATAAACTATGTTTTTAAATGAGCTCCTTTTTGTGCTAAAGATTCTACTAATTTAAAAGGTATGAATTGAAATATTGGATGAAAGGTTGGAACTTTACTTCAAGTTATCTCTCTCTCTCACATATTCTTATGATGATGTATTATAACCAAAAAAAAAAGGATTGAAAATTTTATGTTCATTATTCAAATGTTCATATCAGAATTTTTATTTTCTTATAGATCAAAAATTACTTCGCTTGTATATTTATTCATCCCAAGTTTTTTTTTAAAAAAAGATAGGAATAAGATAAATATAGAATTTAAATTTTTACTAGTCTTTATCGTAAGATTAAGGATACGTTAAAATTATTTTAATAAACAATCAAGCTAATGAACAATAATGGCAAATCAAAAAAAATTATAAATAAAAAAAAAAATGAAATTACTCGTGGTCCTGTAACTTTAACGTTCTAAACCAACCTTGTTCAGTCAGAACGAAATGAATATTTCAAATAATCTTTTAGAGATATCCTAATTTATGTCGAAACAAAAGTTTATGTCAAAGTTGCAAATATTTTTGTGAGACGTAAAGCATAATAATGGACAAAAGAAAAAGTTTTATAATTAAAATATTCATTTACTGTAATTTATTTTTTTTTCAAAGACGATCAAAAAAAATATATAAATATTCCGAATAGTCGTTAGTTTATTGTCCAAACTTATGTTGTGCTTTTAATGTATAATTAATTGTATCATGCAAACGTGGACCTTTCTACGACTTCTTTATAATAGAACATCCTCTCTTTCTGCTTTTTTCTAAGTTTTAGCTTGGTCGATATAATAAAAGATGATTGATAAAAAAAAATCTTTAGTACTATTGCTCGCAGTGGCTTCACTTACTAGATAAAGTTTATCAAGGAACATAATGGTTAGTACGAATAGATATAAATTACTTGTCGTAGCTCTAAATAAGCTTAAAAGATCTAGTAAGCGATATCGTTCTGTGTCTGTTGTGGCATACCTGAGTTAATCAAATTGATTGAAGTATCCATACAATAATGCCAATTTGGAATAGTAAGAAATTGCATTATCACTTAGTGAGGGGTTCAGTAGCTGACGGAAAATGGGAATTTTTTTATGATTTTCACATTTTATTCCAGTTTACTTCATTATATTTTATGTTCATACAATGATATAAATAATATTTCGTCAAAGTGACATGTATCAATTATAATTGTTGTATATATTTTGTTTATTTATTTTATTTGAAAAATATGAAACTAAGAATTACATGAAGCAATAAAATATTCTTGCTGAATAAAATCATTCTTTATAATATTTGTGCATGGATTTTGATAAATGAAAGATAGCAATCATTGGTCAAAGTCTAATCCTCAACTTGATCAAATTTTAAAGAAAAGCACTCCTTTTCGAAATAAACGTTTAGTTCTGCATCATATACTTTCATAAACTCCATTCCTAGAACATTTATTTCACTGAAGTGCGATTTAGTTGGTGACTTAATAACGGGAAATTTTCTATTATGAATTCGTGCAATAATCTTTTGACTTGGATCGGTAGAAGACACACCGAATGAATTTAATACATCCTCGCAGATATCTATGAGGAAGTGTACAATCTTGATCTTCTTCTTGATTTTTACCGTCGTTGCGCAAAAAAGTCGGTAGTGGTTACCATATAGAATTCCATTAATATCATCATTAAATTCTTGTGAGGAGTCCGAAAGATATTTGATTCCAAGTTTTGCCGATATTTTTTCGTGAAGATCTTTACCGCAAACATCGGTTAAAAGAATATCAAAATTTGTAGGTTCATGAGAATCATCGATATCGATATCAATCATCTTTTTTAAGCGTGCGAGAAAGTAAAAAACACGTGAGAGCATGAATATCTTGGAGAAAAATATTTGAAAAAGTTTGAGTAAACAGACAGAAGAAATATAGTTTTTGAAAAATTTCTGAAAAGGCGTTATATACAGTTATTTGTTGTGATCCGAAATATGTGACAGGTTAAGTCACAAAACTAAGCACATCTGTTTTGTGGGCGTGGTTTTTTCGTGTCACGGGTAACGAATAAATATGGGATCAGACACGTAAAAAAAAACAAGTCGCTGAGATAAAGATAATCTGCGACTTCCTGTCATCATGTGATAATTGACAGTTACATATCACATATCACACCATCTTAAATCACGTGATCCAATTAGTAAACCGCGTCCACAAAACGGAGCTGCTAGATTACGATCAAATACATTGAAAGTTTGCAGGCAAATATATTAGGCCAAATTTAGAATTCAATTAACATATATGGAAATGAAAAACGAGAAACGAAGCATACATTTGTTTTTATTATATGTATTTATTAAGCGTTCGCTGGCTTAAAAAAATATTCACACGACCAAATATATTGATTGAAAGTTTGCTGCTATCCTTTTTTTTCCTTTATAAAGAAACAAAGAAGCGGACAAGATTCTTGTCGTACCTTATACAAAATTATGACCAAGTTACATGTTCTTTTCTTTTTCGTATCCCTTTCACAAAATAAATTCTAATAATGAACCGCGCCCACCTGAATAAATTGTCCGGCTTTAACTTTCTTTCAGCGAAAGTCTATCTTCCTGCCGTAGTTGACATCTGGATTTCATACATATCTTAACCTGCTGGTTAAGCTCTTTTATTCTTTTTTTTTAATGTAGTACCCTATCATTATCGACAATAGTTTTCCACTCGTAATTCCGTGAAAAATTTTCTCCTTGATATTTACTCCTAAGCGTAACTGATATTCCGACCTATTGATTACCTTTTTACAAGACAATTTTTACTTAGGTTCCATAACTAATTCCTTTTCCACTTCTTTTTCTAGAATTTATTTTTAAATCGATGAATATACCTGGAGACGAACTTTTATTTCGTGTTCGGATTTCAGACTTCCTCCTTCTTCCTTTTTCTCACAATAGATAACAACTCATATTGACAAGACTAAAAAATTTTTTTAAAAAAAAAGTGTGTTGTATTAGTGATAAACCTTATTAAAGAATAATATTCTTAATTTATTAGTCAACAATAAAGAAGTGGACATAAAATGTAGAAGTGGCAAATACGGTATACAAAAATTTGACTTTCGAACTTTACCATTTTATTTTTTTAATTTTCTTTTCATCAAGATGGGAGGGACCGACTTTTAATTATCTACAATTGAGAAGGGCCGGTACAACTGCTCGTGAATAGGTAAGGGTCTGCGATTTTCTGAAAAAGAAATTGCTATCCCCTTCCCTTATGTTAATCAAAAACTGTTTCATGAGTGGGTGCTCACGCAACCCGAGCCCTGTTGGATATCTCCCATCTTTGTAGCGAAGTCATAATCGACGAGCCGTATTGGGTACTCTCATCCTTGGAATGCAGTCGAATGTCGATCGATCTTGTAAGTTATCTATTTTATTCTGATCTTTTTAGTCTTGTCATATGAGTTGTATAATTGTTTTCATAAAATATATTGCTTGACAAAACATAAATAAAGGTTCCACCATTTTAAAAAAATTATTTGTCATGGTCCGTCTCCGTCAATTTGAACATTAGTCCAAAAGGAGGGGATATCGCGTGAAGAAGGATGGTTAATCTGCATAGTTTATTTTGGTAGAAGGCAAAGTCTATCGTGAAATTGTCACACGTCAATGGCATCTTTACAACTAGGAGACAACGCGCTAGACATTTTAAATTGTAGTTCAGAGCTATATTAATATACTGAAACCTTTAATTTTTTAAAATAAAAGAAAAAAGAAAACTTTTGATTCTGATCTGATTAAGAAAAACCTGTCAGAGTTGAAATCGAATCATGTACTGGTGTGTGTTAGGGAGACAAATTTTCTGGATTCTTCTATAGGAGATGAGGTTATTTCTAAATTATCACTATCGCTAGTCTGGTTGGTTATAAGCGATGATATGAAATAGCAAAGAGCTTGTAATGATTTTAATGCAGAATGTTTTATAGTTCAGAGAAATAGAATATTGTTATATTGAATATAATTTCTCCAGGAAACTCCATAATTTTATGAAAATCGTTTTCGATATTTGCAGTTAGTCCTTTGAAGATCATTTTGCCAGGCTGTCCTAGTAATTATTTTTTTTTTTATAAATACGAGCCGGAAATCCTAAAACAACCAATCATTCACGCTCGCCCCTTCCTTTTATCCCTTCGCGATATTTTCGCATTCGCCGTTTTAACATTTTAAATTTATTATTGTAACTTCGTTTAATTTCTTAATTCACAATTTTCTTATTGTTTTATTATTCAATTTTCGTAATTGCTAGTTTATAAATTTAGAGTTTTATTGATTGGCATTTATTTAATTTAATATATTGACATTGAGTCAATACTGATTAATTTGATATTATTAAATAAATATAGCGTCAAAATTACTTCATTTTACTCCAATAAAAACCTTCTGCTTACATTTAAAATTATTTATAAATACATAAACGAAAGAACTGAACTGAATACAACTTTACCGCTAATTTTTGCTCCTCAGAGATGCACCAAAAAATTTAATCGCTTCAATCAATATGCTAGATAGAAATGAGACGATTATTTTACAGGCGAACAGATAATGAGATTGTTAGTTTTAATTTATGGAATCAATAAACAATACTTATTCGAAAATTCGTGCCGAATAACTATTAAATCAAATTTGATTGGTTGATTCAGGAGCCAGATATTTTAACTTTATTTTTTCTCTCAGCGAAAAATAATTTCTTTTTCAAATATTTTCTCAATGAACATTCAATACTTTTATTAACTCTGATGGAAACTTATTCACAAAATTAAGTAATAACTTTCTTTATAACTCAGGTTTATTTTTTATTTGGAAATTGTCGTCAATTTTTAACAATTCAATTTTGTAATTGAACCATCCATAAAAACTATTAGAAAGAAACTAAATAGTTTTATTCTTTTGGAAAGAGATTAATGAGAAATTTTGATAAGAAACCATAGTAAAAATAAACATTATTTAAAGAAATTTTTTTCCGCGGAAAAGATATACAGCGCCAATATGACGTAGGTATCGATCAAAAACGTTGCGTTAACAAAGTGAAATGGCAAAACAATTTCATTTTGTAAAATGCTTAACGCGTTACTCAGCATCTTATAATTTATTAATAATTTATTTAACCGAATTATTAAATGTGTTTTTTAATTCAAAAATGTTAACTCGTTAAAAGGATTTATTCCATTAAATGCCATACCATGTATAATTTACAAAACTTAATCTGTAACTGTTTTAACTTTCTTAATTCTTTGTAAAGTTCTTCTAGTGCCAGCTGTTGATACAGTTGAAAGATTTTGATTAATTTGTTTATCAATCTTTGCTTTCTAATATCAATAATAAATAAATTAATAAATTATTTAAAAATAATATTAAAGTAAATTATTCTGTAAATAAAAATTAAATACCTCCACTTCATTAATGATATAGATATAACTATCATAGGCATGTGATACCAATAAATCAGTAGGAAATAATCTTACAATCAATTCTTGCTTGATATCGCTAGTCCACAAATCCAAAGTAAAATCTAAGAAATACATGCTTATTTTTAAGTCTTCAATATTAGATTCGACCAATAAAAATCTATAAATAAATCTTTTTAAGGCAAGGGTAAATGTCTCGGCAGGAATAAGTTGAGATTCTTTTTCAGGGAGATAATTTACACAATTATTAATTGAATTCTTCATTAGTTCCGTTAAAGAAACTTTAAATTTATCTTCAACATTATGAATTATCGGATTTGCCACTTGATCTTCAATTATTTCATATAATGATACAATATATTTTAAAGAAAATTCATTAAATATGTTTATATAAGTTATATCATATCTTGCTAATTTTAACCATTGATTAACAAAGTCTACAATAAGAATATCCCTATTCTTAATTGATAATCCTTTTATAAAACAAAGCATTACATCCAAGAGAAAATGTAATTCTGATAAATTTAATGAATTTCGTAAGATAAATGATGGTCTTTTATCTTCCGGAACAGGTTCTTGTGATAATATTCTTTTTACATAAAAAAGCATTCTTGATGAATTATGAAATAATTCATGTTTAAATGAAAAACTTTTTAAGTAAAAGTCATCATCATCCTCGGTTTCGAAATGAACTTTGCCAAAAATCAATTTTTTAGCAAGTTTCTTTTCGATTTTTTGTAAATCAAATATGAAATTGGTATTCATTTCCAATTTTAGGTTCCTTTGACTATATTTTAAAATGTTATCATTCCATTCATAATCAATGAAATGATCATCTTGTGCATGAATCACTTTAATCGATTTGGAAATCAATTTAGATTTTGATATTTCAACCGGAATAGCTAATATGTTATCCAAAAATTCATTATGCAATTTGATCAAAAAGTCCAAAATCGCACATAAATAAATTCCAGTATCCTTTTGTTCGATTAGACCAAAAATAACAGGAAGTTCAAGATTCATAACCGGTTTGTTAATAGGTAATTCCTTGGACTGATATTGAACAACATAATGAATAACACAATTCCAACCAATAGCAAATTCTTCAAATAATGATCTTAAATTTTCACTTTCAGATTTTTTCTCTAAAAATTCTTGAAATGTCATAATTTGTGCGGTTTTCCTAGTTAAACTATGTTCAAGTTTAAAGTTCAAAATCTTCACAAATCTAACAATTGGATGAAGATACTTGACGAGTCCTAGTTTCTCATGATGCTTAAAATATACTGAAAGGAATGGATACTCTTTTAAATTTTGCGTGAAATTGATACTATAAAAGGCACGAAAATCTTCAAAATTCACTTTTTTCGTTGATTGCCAAATTTTGGGAAGGTCTTCAGATGTATATTTTTTAAACCATGGGAATATCTCTTCTAACATTTTCAGTTGATTCACATCAACGAAAAGATCTCGTTGGTATACAAAGTAAGATCGTAAGGATTGTATGAATGAATTATTAATTTTCATACAATCATTAATTTCTTTAATCAATGATTTAGACAAAGAATTATCCTCTTGTACATAGTTCTTCCAGAATTCATATACAAATTCTTTGAGAAATGATACCAAAGTTATTTGTTGTATCGTAGATATTTGTTGCGAAGACAGATCTTGTTTTGAAATTGTTTCAATCGAATATTTGAAATATGGTAATAATTCTTTTAATTCAAATTCATTAAAAATTGTTTGTATAGTTTCACAACAAAATATCATTATATCCGAGTTAATGGTTTCGATGATGTCATTAATAGCATTCAGTCCAATGGAAAGTTGTAAAGCATCTTCAGAATTCATTATCAATGTAAAAAAGATTTGCTCATTCTGTTGTTTTTCAATGTCGAAAACCTTTCTAATTATTACACTCATTAATTTAAAAGGATTTCGTGAAAATATGTTTTTGTAAAGAATTATCCGAATCTCGGATTCTAACGGGAGAAAAACAAGAAGTCTCATAATAAATGATCTAATGGGGATCAAATCATCATCTTTTAAATTATCAAAGATTAAATTAATAATATCAGATGTGATAAATTCTCGATTCCTAGATTTTCCCAAATAAATGATTTCTTTGATCTTTCCTGATGGAATCGACCTTATATTTAATAAATCGTTACATACGAGTAATAAATTTAAATTTGAATATTCTTTTGCATCATCGAATTTATCACTTAGAGAAAAAATAATGTCCACATCTTTTTTCCACGGTTTATCATCACATATGTTTTGTAGGACTAAATTTATTGCTTCCCTAAAAAGATATTGATCAAGCTTTCCATGAATAATGAGATCATTTCGAATCTTTGTAATCATGTATGGAAAATTTTCAACTAATTTTAATTGAATCAAAATATTATCTGCATATTTCCACCAATAAATATGAAGTAGAAATGGATCATTAACTATTTTATCTCCAAATAATTGTGTCACCATAAAATCTAATTCTTCCTTATTAATTAATCTTTTGGTAGTATAAGTTGATAAAATTATTCTAATAAAATCATTATAATATAATTTTGAATATTTTTGTAATTTTTCAAAATTTGGATCAATAGAAATTAAATTATTCTTAAAATCTTCCAAATGATCTTCGATCAATTCTTCATATAATTCTTGATTATGGTCAACATTCTCTGGAACTTGTTTTAATATGTCCAATTCGTCATAATAAAAATACTTATAACGATTGATCTGATTCATATAATAATATGAAAAAGGAAACTCAAGATCCTGGATTATTAAGGATGACATAACATATACAGAAGGTTTCGGTTCAGGTAAATTATTAATATTGATAATGGTATTATCCATAAAGAATTTCCTCCATAGATCAGACAAATCTTCTTTCATTTCGGATTGATCGTTTTCGATATCGAAAAATGATGTTGTTGCTGATAACTTTTCAAGCGAATATAAAATTTTTGCAATCGTTTGCCTAATAATTATCTTGAAGTTTGATAAATTTTTCTTATTTAAAGCTATCTCATAATGCCAATATGTACAATTCTCTGAAATCCACTCTAAGGTCTTTGTTTTAATGCATTTTATAAAATTCGTATTACTTAAAATTCTTTTATTTAATATACTATAGACAAAATATACAATGTTTAGTGTTAGTATTTAAAAAAATATATAAATTACAACTAATTTTAGTACTACCATACCTGATATAATTTTCGTTAAATTGTTTATATTTTATACATGATAAACACCAAAATAATTCATCTTTTAGAATATTTTCAAATGGTATTGTTGAATTAACTATTTTATCAAAAAGTTCGGAATTAGATTTTGATTCATTCAAAAGATTTTTTAAGGATATCTTTTGTGGATCTAAAAATTTGACAGTAATATGTTTCCAACCACACATGAAATTAGGCAGTATTGAATTTTGTTCATAACCCTGTTGAATATGAAATATTATACACGCGTATTTCGTTTCAAAATTTCTTTTTTCGACCAAAAATTCATTTGCAAATTGCTCAATAATGTGTTTCGTGAACTTAATGCATTTAGCGTCAATAGCTGCTATATCGCATTGGAAGAACAACACTTGGTCATTTGATTCAAAAAAGAAATGCTTTATCCGATTTGAAAGTTGTGCTTCGGTTCTAAAGATTGATAAGTTATACACTTGACACCTTAATTGATCTAATAAACAACCCTTCACATCCGTATTAATATTAGAGAAAGTGTTAATAATTATTAGCAAATATCCTTCAGGATTTTCTAATGATTTTTCTTGTTTAAATACGGAGTTAAAATAATCATATAGACTATCATGATATTGTTGATGAAAATAAACATGATTTAATCTAATAATTTCATCTCGATCCAAAATTGAATGTTCGGCTCTTAAAATGCCGTCAGGAGATATCAATGCAATTAAACTTTCCTTGCATATTTTCAAAATCTTTTCATTCTCGGCTTTTGGATTACTCTGTGTAACATAAAGTACTAAACTTTGTATAGCATCATCTTTATCGAAACCGATGAACAGGTCCTTCTGCGTAAAATTTTCATATAATGGAGCTATTTGATTAACTCCAATTAAAGTTGATATTTGTCTTGCCCAATTGCCTAAATTTTCTACAAGTAATTTCTGCCTGTCATTAAGAGTATCATGAATTGACATTTTGTGTTTTTCAAATCGATTAAGAAGTGCTGAATCGGCCGAAGCCAAATTCTTTTCATCCATGACAAGAATACATTTAAAACTTGGTGAAACACAACTACCAAATTATAAATACCAATATATTATTAATACATAATAATTGAAATTAGAAACTAATTAAATAGATTAAGAAATTCAAATACATACAGCATAGGATTAACATATGCCCCGAGAGCAACTCGTGTGAAGTATTTGGCACTAATATAATTATGATTCCATAAATCGTAAAGACTACCTATTTATTATAAAATATAATTTATAAAATTTACAAATGATTCCAAATTAAATTAAATAAATTTAATAAAATACCATAAATGTTTTCCAGATCTGTTAGAATCAATGGTCGGCCTGCTTCAACACACATCTAATAACGGATGATTTTATTTAGAAATAAGAAATAGAAAACTTTACCAAAGAAATACAAATTATTACCATAATTCTACTAAAAACACTATAAGAATAATCATCCTTATCATCAGGAAATGGTGATCCTAAAATCACAACAGGATCCAATAGTTTCTTTCTTAATTGATAAGTTAATAAATTTACAATAGAATCAGTTTTACCGATAATCAATAAATGACGCGCATCAGAATCATTTAAATTTGAACCGATTGATTGCTCAATTGGAATTGGTTTATAAAACCATGGACTGTGATTATTAATAGTTTTGAGAAAGTCTCCAAAGAATTCGTCGTACAATTTTTTGTTATTTTCTGCTCCCCCAAAATTACGAGCTAATGCTATTTGAATATTCTCTGGTGTCATTTTTGCTAATGAAAGCCGTTTGACTAGCGCGTAAAAATCTCGAAGACCATGAAAATTAGGCAAGTCTTGACCGTGTTTTTCATAAACCGAATATGCTTTTGCTAATGTTTCTAAATCTTCTCTTTGATAATGTCCAATAACTTTCGTACTTAATAACTGTTCAGTAGTATCAATTAAATCATCTAAATCAAATTGTGGTCTGTAAAGAAATAACATTGAAGTTCATCAATAATATATATTTCGCAAATAATTTCAAAAAAAATTTAATTACCTTTGAACAAGTAATGCACGACTACTTTTACTGATATCCAGGCGCCAATTTGATATTACAACCACTGAAACAGTAGGTCCTTTTGCTGGATAGCTTGGTTCGAGCAAGGGGTGAAGTACTTTTAATGGATTAGAAGGATTCGTTTCAGCCAAACCGACTAAATGCAAATTTTTTTTAAAATAATAATAAATATATATGTATAAATGGAACAAAAAATGAACAAATTACCTTGATCAAGCAAAACAACACTAATAACTGGAAATTGATTGGAATATGTTTCCTGATAATTATTAGCTTTATCAAAAACTTTAATTATACCATCAGAAGTTGAAAACGAAG